CGAGAGAGACAACGCAGCGCACGAACATATTGATTTAAATAACCCTTTTACTGGTGTACTTAGCATTAATCAATGAACAAAACAATGAGAACACTCAGGGAATAATCCGTGGTGTGATTGACCATGGAGCCAATAGTAAGTTTACATTTAAGTTACAATAACATAATCTTTGGAAGTTTTAGTCAGAGAAGATAAAAAGTAAACTTATATCGTAGTAAAAATGAATTAAAGAGAGCAGCTCTGTCTGAGAAGTGTGACTCTTTTAATCTGGAAGACCGCTTTTGAGTTTTCGTTTGGTGTTAAAGTTGGACTTCAAATGTATTGAGCTTTTGTTTTGAATACCTGAGACAAAGAAGCCCCTCTTTTCCACGATAAAAACCTTGAAGTAAAACCCGTACTTCAGTTTCAAACGTTACAAACCTAATTGTCTCGCTTACCTAATAGCGAGTTTTCTTGAAAGAGGGATTTTCCTAAAAAAGGCAGCTTTGAATTTACAAACTTTTTGGGTGACGCTCATGCTACAGAGATTTATAGCATTATCGGCCGGGAAAGTTCGAAAAACATCGGTTTTACTCGTTTTCGGATGCATTGAATACGTGACCGACGTGGTGGCTGAGAGCAAAAATCCTGGGCACGAAGTTTTCTTTTGAAAATCGCTGACCAAAAAGAATTCGACAGGAGCTCACTGTAGTTATTACTTTCAGTTAGCGAGCAGGAAGTGAATGTCTTCATAGAATATGGCGGCTAAAGAAGATCAGGAGTTGATTTTATTCAAATTGGCGAGTGCAAAATTAACCGATGCCCAGAATGTAATGGCTGAAGATAGCGACTTAGCGAACGCCAAACTATCTGAAGCGCAGAGGCTTATGGCCGAAGCAGGCGTTCAAATGAAAGAGGATCTTAATAATGCGCGAGTTAAAAAGGAAGCTGTCGAAGAGATGACAAGAACGTTGAATCACGTCCACTTCGCCAGCTCAATTAAGCTGAATGTTGGCGGAAAAATATACAAAACAACACTAGCTACTCTAAGAAAGGATTCAAACTCTATGTTAAAGGTAAAGGTCTCTATTTCTCTAAACAACATACGTGTTTAGTTACAATTTTAAGGTTGAAATCAGACAGGCGCCTCTGGCAGCCGTGTTTAGTCCGTAGCGATTTCACCTACCCACC